CCTATTAGAAAATTTTGAACAACTTCTACAGAGAAATTAGCAAAGCAAACAGCAAAAGGACAGTAACACAATAGTTATTCAGTATGCTATTGCTCAAGGATATCCACCAATTACAATTTGCAGCGATATGAGTGTTAGTGTTTACATGGAATTGAAAAAATCAAGTGCAAGGATGACAACACTTCCCATGTGTGTGTCGTTTGCTAAAAACACTATAGCTGCAAGCACCTGCAGTTTCGATATTGCTCCAATTTCATCAGAAATTGCACAATTTGAAAGCACTGATATGATTAGTACGTTTGATGTGCAAGAAGGAGATGACGCCATTTTACAACTTGATGATGCAAACATCATAACTGATCAATTTCATCAAAATGATGAAAAAGGACAAATTTACAAAGACAAGAACCTACTGGCTCTCGTTATGAAACAGTATGCCGTTAGAGAAAAATGTCAGTATCGGATTCATAAATCATGCCCAAGAAGGTTCGTCAGCATGTTTTCAAGTAAAAAACTATGTGATACTTATATAGTATATAAGTACGCTAAAGCAGTATACTATGCGAGTATGGATTGGTTTGTCTGTGTTTTATATCAGTGATACTGGTATAGTATATAAGTATGCTATATCAGTATACTATGCAAGTATATAACTGTATTGATTTGTCTTTGTTATTATCAGTAAAACATAATACCAATATAGTATATATGTATGCTAAATCAGTATACTATGTGAGTATAGAATTGTGCTGCTTTGTCTATGTTTTTTATCAGCAAATATGATACTGATACAGTATATAAGTATACCAACAGAGTATACTATGTGACTATATAATTGTACGAATTTTTGTGTGTGTTTTTTATCAACAAAACATGATACATAACTGTATTTGTATTATAAACAGGTATATCCTTGAATGCGTGGATGAAAGATGCACTTGAAGACTTAAGGCATCAAGCCTGCGAGCATCAAATCTTTTCAAAGTGACGGATTTGAATTCTATCCACAGTTGTTTAACTGATAAGAGATTTTGTTCACAAAAGCAAGATGTCTCAGCTTTTGTTGCAGCTGTGGTACAAGATAAACTTCTTGACTCGAAAAGCATATATACACCAACAGATATCCAGAGAGACATCCAAAAAGCATATCGTATGGACTTAACCTACATGCAAGCGTGGAGATCAAAAGAAAAAGCAATGCAATTGTTGAGAGGAAAACCAAGTGAGTCATACAAGAAAATGCCAACATATCTTTATATGTTAGAGTACGCTAACCCAGGATCAGTGACACGACTACACACTGAAGGAGACGGGAGCTTCTTGTATGCATTCATAGCTATATATGCATCGATTAGAGGATGGGTCTATTGTAGGCCAACTGTTGTAGTTGATGGAAGTTTTTTAAAGTCAACATATAGAGGGACCATATAACGGCTTCCACGCAAGACGCAGAGGGTAAAAATACAATCTAGTTACATTCAGTTAAAGAAACAAAAGATTTTCAAATATTATATGATACCAGTATGGTATACAAGTATACCAATAGAGTATATAGTTATTTTGCTACATAGCTGCACGTACCTATGACTATACTACTATATGAAATACTAAATTAATATTGTGTGTACAATCCAATTACATTCAGTTAAAGAAACAAAAAAGATTTTAAAAAAGTATATGATACCAGTATGGTATACAAGTATACCAACAGAGTATATAGTTATTTTGCTACACACCTGCACCTACCTATGACTATACTACTATATGAAATGCTAAATTAATATAGTGTGTTGTAATTGATATTTTGTTCTTTGGGTTTACAGGACAAATTCTACCCCTCGCATATGCAATTGTTGATTCGGAAAATGATGCATCGTGGGAGTGGTTCTTCGTGCAGTTCAGAGAAACCTATGGACAAAGAGAGGGAATGTGCATTGTATCAGACAGGCATGATGGTATATGGAGAGCAACCTCTATCCAGAAGTCCCTCATTGTGCATGTATGTTCCATTTGTGGAACAACATAAAGACAAACTTCAGGAAGAGCCAAAAACAAATCAAAGAAGTATATTTTGCGTTAGCAAGAGCATACACTGTTGAAGAATTCAACAGGCATATGGCAGAGTTAGAAGCTATTGATAGTAGAGTGAAAACATACCTGATGGATATTGGATATGATAGATGATCCCGGGCGCATTCCAAGGCAAATAGAACCATGACCATGACATCTAATATTGCGGAATCAGTAAATGCAGCAAATAAGCACGCAAGAGACCTCCCAGTTGTGAATTTGCTCGACTTTATGACAACATTGATTCAAAAATGGAATTACACCAATCGGAAGGATGCAGTGGAATCATTTATGAAGATTGGTGCAAAGTATGAAAAAATATTATCAGATAATACTATCTTATCACAGACGATGATGGTATGCATTTTCAAAATCATAAAAACACTGCATGTACTGTAGTTTTACTTTTTTACCTTAGTGATTTCACTAAACAATTGAATATTATTATTTGAAAAATACTATTACTTCGTATAGCTAATGACTTTTCTTAATTAAAATTATACTAGGTGTTGCCTTCAACTGAATTCTTACATTTAGTAATTGATGGCCAAACAAGAAATGTGGTGCGCCTACATGAAAAAAACTGCACTTGTGGGAGGTTTCAGCTAGACGATATTCCATGTCCACATGCAATGGCAGTTATACAAAAATTTCATATGGATTCATACAAGTATTGCTCGGATTACTATAGCATAGAGTACTTGCTGAAAACATATGAGATACCAGTAAATCCTTTGCCTGATGAAACAACGTGGCAAATTCCAGAACATGTCTCTTCGCAGGTGGTACTGCCACCAAAAGGAAAAATCAAACCAGGAAGACCTAAAAAGAAGAGAGGCACAGGAGCCTGGGGAGGAAATACAGTTACATGTGCACTATGCGGGAGAAAAGGACACAACCGAAGAACATGCCGAAATATTCCAAAGAGAGATTGATATAATGCTTCAATGTTTTCATAGAACTCATATATCGTAGAATCATAGCATTTGAATTGCAAAGAAATAAAATGCGTTTCTTGCACTAGATATATATTTGGTATGATGATTCTTTGCGAAATTACTTTTTGGAAACAAATTTATATGGCTACTTGTGTTTTCAAGAAGAACCTGTTTATTTTCTATTTTAGTATATAAAAGTGGGATGCATTTAAATCTAGTTAATAGAGGATCGGGGCGTAAATTCCAAAAACGACCGGCCGGGTCGTTACAATAAATGTGATACCTAAGTGATATATCTGTATACCTTATTGGTATATCTGTATATCTTATTCGTATCAAAATATGTGCAGAAATAGAAGTGGTGCCGCAAATGCAACATTTGTACATACATCGTTAACAAAATGGGCACGCTTTGCAGCTCATGTCTATATTGAAGTATAACAAATTGAAAGCTATTTACATGCAGTTATTGTACATCATCAGGTACATAAATATAAGGTGATACCCAAATGGTATATTTGTATACCTCACTGGTATATAGTGGTATTGCACTAATATGGTTAAAACAAAATATGCGCAGAAATACAAATGGTGCACCAAATACAACGTGATACCCAAAATGCGCACGCTTTGCAACTCATGTCAGTACTTACATCTAGTTGCTGCAGCAAAAAAGGTACTCAAATACAACGTGATACCCAAATGATATATCAGTATACCTGATTGGCATATAGTTCTACTGCACTAATATACTTGAACCAAAATCTTTGCGGAATACAATTGGTGCAGCAATGCAAATTATGCACAGATTTTCTTAGATTCAACTACAACTAACAACTACTCTCAATATAATTTCAAGACCAGTTCACTTTCTAAAAATATTTCTTCTCATTCAAATCAATGGTCGCCCTGTTCTTCAACAAAATAACAACATAGTTCCTCTTTTTGAACATCGTAACTCCCTTAAAAATACACCTCCAAAAACAACTTCTGCTTGTGTATTACAGCGAACTAATAATGCTTCTCCTACTACAAATGAAAGTAGTAGTAGGAACTAACAGTGCTACTGTAACAGCCATGTTCTACAATAATAGCTTGACTTCAAGTGATGACAAAATTCTATCTCCAAAAGGCACTCCTATTAAACCAACAACTTTATGGAAGAAGCCTAAGAAAAGTCTAATAAACAAACTGAAGATACATTC